GCCACTCGAAAGGCCACGCAGATTCACAAAACAATGATCTCCCAAACAGCCAAGATTGCCCGATATGGCCTCCAAGACGGCCAAGATGGCCTCTCACCCAGGCGCGGTGGCGGGATGTGCCGAGGGGCCGAAGGCCAGTACACTCGGGCTGCTGAAACAAAGACCGGTCAGCAAGAGACGAAGCCCTTTGCTGGCCCCCACATCGGAGTGCCTGCGCAAACGAAGAGGACCAGGAGGAACAGTAATGGAAGGACCTGGGGAACTCGTGAGCTCTTTTCATTCCCCTCCGGGGAAGCAGTCCTTACCTGGGGGGTGGGAGGTGGTGGGGCGGGAGGGTAACGGTAACGGCGGCCGCGGCGACGGCGGCCGCGGCGTGCACCCGCCAGAGTGTCTCCGCGCCACTGGCGCAGCGCCATACCTGTGGAGGTCCGCCCCCTAGCATGTAGGGAGTGGGGGGTCCAAGCCTCCCCGCCCAATGCGATCGTTAGCGTTACCCGGGAGGGGTTCGACCTGGTAACGAGCGACATCAGGCAGAACAAATAATCCTGGGGAAAGACCCAACCATATTCAGTTGTGAATCACGCGTTGTGGGTACCGCTTTCGGTGGAGCTCCCTATGGGGCCACGAAGCGCTGTAGGGACGTGCCGTAATGGGTTGGGGAGACGCATGCGGGAGGTGCCACTGGGGCCTTCGGTGGGGCTCCCTATGGGCCACGAAACGCTGTACTAGGTGGTGGCTGACGCATGCGGGCGGTGCCATTGGGGCGTGGTGGAGCTCCCAATTAATGGAGACGCGAAATGAAATACTGGGTGGTGGACGACGCATGCGGGCGGTGCCACTGGGGTCATTATGTGGAGACCTCTACGGGGCCACGAAACGCTGTACTGGGTGGTGGCCGACGCATGCGGGCGGTGGCAGTGAGGGCTTCGGAGGAGCTCCATATGGGGCCACGAAACGCTGTACTGGGAGGGGGGACGCATGCGGGCGGTGCCACTGGGACCTTCGGTGGAGCCCCCTTTATGGGCCCACGAAGCGCTGTACTGGGTGCGGGGTCGCATGCGGGCGGTGCCACTTGAGCTCCCAATGGGGCCACGAAGCGCTGTACCGGGTCGGGGGGACGCATGCGGGCGGTCCCACTGGTACCTTCGGCGGAGCTGCCAATCAATGGGGCCACGAAACGCTGTACTGGATGGTGGACGACGCATGCGGGCGGTGCCACTGGGGTCATAATGTGGAGATCCCTACGGGGCCACGAAACGCTGTACTGGGTGGTGGCTGACGCATGCGGGGACCTTCGGTGGAGCTCCCCATGGGGCCACGAAGCGCTGTACGGGGTGGCAGCTGACGCATGCGGGCGGCCCCACTGGGACCTTCGGTGGAGCCCCCTTATGGAGCCACGGAACGCTGTGCTGGGTGGTGTCCGACGCATGCGGGCGGTGCCGCTGGGGTCATTATGTGGAGATCCCTATGGGGCCACGAAACGCTGTACTGGGTGGCGGCTGACGCATGCGGGCGAGCCCACTGGGGCCTTCGGTGGAGCCCCCTGTGGGGCCACGAAACGCTGTACTGGTTGGTGGCTGACGCATGCGGGCGGTGCCACTAGGGCCATCGTTGGAGCTCCCTATGGGACCACTGGGTGGTGGACGACGCATGCGGGCGGTGCCCCTGGGGTCATTATGTGGAGCTCCCTATGGGGCCACGAAACGCTGTACTGGATAGTGGCTGACGCATGCGGGCTGTGCCACTGGGGCCATCGGTGGAGACCCCCCTATGGGGCCTCGAAGCGTTGTACTGGGTGGTGGTTGACGCATGCGGGCTGTCCCACTAGGACCGTCGGGGGAGCTCCCTATGGGGCCACGAAGCGCTGTACTGGGTGGTGGCTGACGCATTACTACAATGCGTAAACGTGCCCAGACGTTGAAATACTATCGAAATCCTTGCTCCAGTCCAAAAGCAATAATAACAGCGTCCCGCCCTTATCTCCCAAGGCTGCATCAATCAATCTTCACGCCACATGGGGCCTTCGGTGGAGCTCCCTTATGGGGCCACGGAACGCTGTTCTGGGTGGTGGCTGACGGCGGTCCCACTGGGGGCTTCGGTGGAGCTCCCCATGGGGCCACGAAACGTGTGAGGGGTGTGCCGACATGGTGGACATGTGGAGGGCAGAGGCAAGGGATGGGAGGAGGGGGAGGAGGAGGAGGAGGAGGAGGAGGAGGAGGAGGAGGAGGAGGAGGAGGAGAGGAGGAAGGAAGGAGGGAAGGGACGCGGGGACCGTCTCTTCATATTCAAAACGAGGACCCAAAACCACAGGATGTCTGGGGAAAACAGCGAACGCTCACCACCGAGCCCCCTCCGAACCCAAACTGTTCCTCATGTCAGCGTCCTGGCCGTATGGAATGGCAAGGCGCCCGCCCAGCTCTCCAGGGCATGCCGCCCGGCTGCTCGCCGTCCCTGGCGGCCACGGCCACCGCCGCGGCCACGGCCGCCACGGCGCCAGGTCCTCCCCTCCCACAGGCTTGGCGCTGCAGGCCTTCCCTCTCTCTCTCTCTCTTGTCTTGCTTGTTTTTTTCATCTCTCTCTCTCTCTCTCTCCCCCTCTCAGACGAAGCCAGGACGAGGATGGAATCGAGTGGGGATACACCCAGAATCTCTCTCGGAGATCCAGCTGCTCTGGACGATGTCTCGGGCGCCAGCCCTCTCAGAGCGTTCCCGGTCGCTCTGAGAGCGTTCCCGAACGGTCTGGAACTGATTCATTCTCGTCCCAGCCCCGCCCGGTTCATGCCTCCTCTCTCTCTCCGGTCGCCGCGGGCGGACCCGCCGAGCACGACAGGGGGGGGAGCCAGGAGGCAATTGTGGGTCTTCGTCGGAATGTCCAAAGCCGATTCCGGAGCCAGTCAGGAGCCACTAAGCCTAAGCGGCCCCGATTAGGGACGCCTAGGATTAGACCCGATCAAGTGAGATCAAGCGGGATTCAGGCACATTAAACGAAAGCGAAAAGGATTAAGCTAGACCGGGCGTTGCACTTGCGGTTTTGCACAGCTTCGGGCCCCGAAGGCATCACAGGTCGACCCGTGTCGAAAAAATGGAGCAGAGAATGCGGTGGATAATCAGGGCTCCGGTCGTGTGTTTCACAATGTTGCATTCGCAACGTCGGATCTGACGGGAGGCAAGATGACGCGAGGCGGGAGGGGTCGGATGAGGAGAGGGGACCAGGCGAGAGGATCAGGGGTCAGATGCGGAGAGAGGGCCAGGAGAGAGGGCAACGAGGTCCTCCCTGGACGGCGCAAGGCCCGGGCGCGCGGACCTCCCCCCCCCGAGCAGCCGCCCGAAGGGGGACCGAGACGATGCTCGACGGCGGGACTCCTCCTGCTCCTCCTCCTGCTGCTCCTCCTCCTCCTCCTTCTCGGAGGAGGAGGAGGTGGAGGAGGATATGGAGGAGGAGGAGATGGAGGATATGGAGGAGATGGAGGAGGAGGAGGAGGAGGAGGAGGAGGAGGAGGCGGCAGCTGGTGGCCCGAGCCGCCCAGCGAATGAGGTTCGCACCAGCTTTGTAACTCTCTCACTTCTGAAGATTTCAGGCCATGGATTTCTTCTGTTGATTGAGGGAGGCGGTGACAGCTGGTGGCCGAGGGGGAGCTCGACGTGCGCTATGGCCTTTCTTCGAGCGGTTCAGTATAATCCATGTTGCTGTAACACGCTCGTGCGCGCGCAAGACATAGCCAACGAACTTGTGCATCGTGACGCTATTGTGCTCATTGGGACACAGCTCAGAAGTAGGATTGGCATGATGGAGTACACGTATCGCGCAGGTGAGTATCTCTGCATCCCGTTCGGATATCGCTCAGGGGTTCACTCGAATCGGTCATGTGGCATCACTTTCATGCTTCGTGCGCGAAGGTTTCGAGAGCACCACATCAAGAAGGTGTTCAACATACCGACGCCCTTGTGGGGGAGGTGTGCAGCGCTTCGCATTGTGCAGGGAGAGATGAGGCTTGTCTTGATCGGTTTGTACTTCCCACCACGTCACACTCGCAAGGAAGATAGGATCAGGGACGAGAAGACCGTTACAAAGATGGTCACGTGGTTGAGTGAGGTGTTGCACAAGCTGACGTCTGACGACACTGTATTAATCTTCACGGACTTGAGTGATGGATTACGTTATGATGATGAATCGACATGTTGTGGCATGTACAGTATAGGGGATGAGCACTACACGACTAAGATGGTGCGACCTCTCTTGGATGGCATGCAGATCACTTCGTACGGCACGCACTTTCGCATGGCACCTAGCTACATAGGCGAGCATCACAGTAAGACCATTGACCACATCATGGGATGGCAGTCGATGTTGGGAGCAGTAGAGGAAGTACGCACACTAGCAGCAGCAGGACGCAGATTACAGTTGCATCATACTGGGCGGCCATTTGATCATAGACCAGTGCAGTTGACTGCGTTCGTCCAGCTTGATCACCAGCAGCGCAAGGACAGGACTGAGAGGCCAAATCAGGAGGCCATGCACTACGCACTGCAGACGGGGCACATGAGACAGGAGTTTTTCACGGCAGCGCATCACAGGCTCGAGAACGCTTATCTTGATTTGCGCTTGTTGGCGTATCGAGGCGACGTTGAGGGCGTTACCACGCGCACTTTTGAGATATTCAATGCTGCTGCCATGGAGGTGTTCACACGCACGCCGTACTTCACAGAGGATCACAAGCAGCACGTTGAGCGCATCAGTGAGCTTCTTGCATATAGACGGCAGGCTAGAGACGCTTATTATCACGGGCTGTGACATGAAGAGCAAGAGTTGCAGTTGAGTCTTGAGATCGTCCGATCCAGCCGGCGTATTCGAGCAGCTTCGCGATCGTACTGGAGAGTTGTTCGAGACAGACGTGTGGAGGAGATGGCTTCTGCTATGAAACAGGGCGACACCCACACTGTTCACAAGTTGTCACGCTTGATCGCTGGCAGACATCGGGGCCCCAGACAACGACAGTACAGAGTTCTGGCAGTCTCGGCGGCCTCAGCGAGAGAGTGGCAGCGCAGAATGATTCTTCCTGGGCGTCAGGGTGGTTGCAGTGCTGTGGCGACTACTGATACTGAATTGCTTCAGCGTGTGCATGATAGATCACTTCAACGATGCAGTGTAGAGTTGTCTTGGGAGTATGCTCTAGATGATTGGAAGCAGATGCGCCGACGTGTTTGGCGCATGAAGCTATGGCGTACGTGGCCACAGTGGAGCTTGCCAGTCGAACTTCTTCGCATGATTATGCATCCCAAGTGGGTCAATCCTCGACGACCTAAAGTGGGAGCAGGAGTTGGCCATAGCAGTGAATTCACGCTGTTTGGTGCCAGTCAAGTTGCCATTCGCCGCTTATTGTTTGCCTTTCGAAGAGCTGGGCGCCTACCAATTCAGATGCACAAGGCACTGGCGTGTAGGCTGCCCAAGAACAATTTCAAGGAGAGTTGTGACGGGGAGAGGATTATCATGGTCATGTGTACGATGGGTAGATGCCTTCAGATGTCACTTATATTGCATGAAGACGCACCAGCATATACATATCCCGTATGATGTCAGGGGGGACTTCGGAGGAGGAGGAGGGAGAACGCCATCATCACACAAGCATGTACATCATGGAGACTTAGGAGGGCACGTATCAGTCACCTCAGTCGGTTTCACGATGGCACGAATGCGTTCTACTGTATTCCCTTCGAGCGCATCCTCGAGGTGCTTCCGAAGTTTTTTCGCCAATGCGATCTTCAGTACGCGCGAGATCGCGTGCTCAGTGTATCGTTCGTGCTGATGGACCCGCATGATGAGATACACATGCGGCCTGGCATGGGAGTGTTTCCTGGCGATCACGCTGCTACCAAAATCTTCATAGCAGCGTATGCCGAAGCCCTGACAGACACGCAGAAGCATGGGTGGCAGCAGGAGGTATGGGACGAGTATTGCACGGGCGCATGTATACTTACTGGCACGCGCACGCAGATAGGCTTCACGACGTTTGTGGACGACATAGGGGACAAGGTGGTCATTGGGGAGGAGGGGGTCACGGTAGCAGGACGCACTCAGAACGAGCACATCACGCACGGCTTGGATAAGTGTGGAGCGTGTCAGAACGTAGGCAAGCAGGAGAGTGTTCCGCATCTTTGTGGCCGTGGCGCCCACACGATAGAGCGCCAGCTGATGACGGGGATGATGAGGGTGGAGGGCCAGATCAGATCGTCCGCACGTTATCTTGGCACCAGGATTTCCGCCAGCCTCAATTGTCAGACAGAGATTACTTATCGCGTCGCTGCCGTGGAGCGGGCCTGGTTTCACATGCATGGCTTCTGGGCGAGTGACGCACCGTTCAGATTGCGAGTTCGAGCTTTTAGAGGTTATCTTCTCAACGCCAGTCTAAGTGGAGCTGAGACCTTAGTGGGAAAGGGAGGGCCTCTTAGTGAACACGATGTACACACAGTTCAAAGCAAACTCATAAAATATGCCAGGGTGGTGTTGAAGGGCACGATGGAGGAGGAGGGGGCGCATGCTAAACAGATGTCGGGGTTCCATGTACTTAAGAAGATGGGGGTAGCCAGCTATCTCACGGAACTACGTATACGACGTTTGAAATGGTTGCAAGCAGTATGTAAACATCCCAGTACGCATGTGCAAGTCATGGCATCAGTATTTGGGGAAGTGGGAGGACACAGAGTAGTGGATGAGGGGGGGCATCTTTGTGATGACGCTAATCCGTGGGCCAAGCAATGGTGGCAAGACCTATTGTCGATGCATGTGTTTGAAGAGGGACAAGCACTTCTTGAACAGCAGGATTTTAACTTACTTCGGATCCTGACTGATGGTGCTGAAGATTTCTGCAGAGTTGATCTTAGGCAGCTTCGGGTGCATTATCTCCATTTTGAACCCCAGGCCAAACATGATCAGCATGATGAAGAAAAACCTTATCAGTGTATGCTAAAGAACGCGGACGGCACACAGTGTACTGCACGGTTTGCCACACGTACGCAGCTTCACACACATCAAGCACATGCGTTGGGAGGGGAACATGGTATAGGCAATTATGCACGACGGCTCACGATCACGAACATGTGCCCCCTCTGCTCCACGGTGTTCTCCGACATCAATGCTGCACGAGCGCACATGGTGAATAGCATTGCACGGAATCGATGTCGAACCGACGGTAGTTATCGCACTCACGGCATGATCGAGCTCGACCGTAATGAGTGCCCTTTGTGTCTCAAGCAGTTTGACACCACACTGCAACTTGTGTGGCATACCAAGCATCACTTGTCTGAGTTTCTGGATCCTGACTTCTATGTCGACTTTCTTACTGCCGGGTGTGACTGGGTTGGAGCAGCGCTCGAAGAAGCAAAAAACGCAGAGCGAGCAGAAACCGAAAGCCGACGACGACAAAGTCAGGGACCAGTTGCTGTGCCAGTTAGAGAGCAGAGTTCGCCGACTCGAGAGGGACACCAGCACCAGCCTGATGATCCC